CGGTTATCGACCGCCACGACACACAATCGTATGAGCAGATAGAAGGATAACGGGATAGAGAGAAATAAGATCTATTGATATAAAAGGGATGGTAGACAATAAAGAGAGGGGAGGATACGATACGGGGAGTTACCAAGAGTCTATACAAATGATCCATTTGGAGTGAGGGGCGATCATAGAATATCAGTTAGATGCCGGTGGGAGTATAGCACTGTGGGAAACTGCGGGTGAGGGCCATGGTGGTGCTGACGGCGAGAAGACGACGATAAGACTGCGATACGGAACCGGGGAAAGTGTCAGCGGAGGGAAAGAGAAGGAAACCCGGCATCTTCACCAACAGACGTTCACACCATCCTCATCCGGATCCGCGCCATAAGTGACCTTGGTTCGTTCAAACACCCATAGTTCGGGCTGGCTCTTTACATTGTGACTTATTCAAGGACCCTTCGTCATGATGTTGGCAATTGCAGAGTACAGCCATTGCGCGTTGCTTGTGATTTCCCAGTGTTACTTGGTTTGTGGGCCTAATTTTATTCACGATGAATAAAGGACGTTTTTGCAAGAAGTCTTGCAACAAATTCTAGCGCGGTCTCGTGTTCTAACCTTAACCCCGCCCCCGCAGGAAGTTATGGCAAAAGCACAGTTAATACGGCAAGTACCTATTCTGGCATCTTATTTGTAGGATAAAACGCAAGAGATGTTTCAAAATGCCTGCAAATGAGCAGAAAGTTTCCAAACTAACGCGAGGCCTTTCATAAGGTGTAAAATTGGGAGACGCGAGTTCCCATAGAGGGAACACAATCAAGGGTGTTTTATTTGCTCTCCCATTGATAAAAAAAAGTGATTAAATTTACACGGACGTCTAAAATCGATGGAATGCGCGCTGTTCATGTTTTTATCTAGCTCCGAGTGTTAAGGACGCAATTGAGTGCAAATACGTTCGACCAAAAGCCAGCAGTGCCACAACAGAGGAATTGGCCTAGGACTGTTTTTTCCTGCTTACCAGGTGCGCAACTTCACTTACGTGATCTGTACCATTGAGCCTAGTGTCCGAGTTGCCTATCTGTGCTCTTGCCAATATTAATCAGTGTCGCACCTGTTCTTTGCGATTTTCGGCGATTTTTCTGCGTACCTTAACAAAAAGCTACCTTGATGAATATTTGATTGACATGAATTCGGCGAATATCGCCTATCAGCAGCCATCTGTAAGTTTATCTTCGCTTTTGGGGGGTTCTTGGGACATATAAGATTCTTGCAAATCAGTAAAGCAGAAGGCTGGTCGAGCATCGGAAGAGTCTGATATTGTTCTGGACTGTGAAACTCTTACAGGAGTTCATTGTCAGAGATAACATCACCCACAAAATAGGCGACAATTATAGGCGGTGTAAACCAATTAACTATCAGCGACGCATGTCTGGAGTTGACTGTGCAAGGCTCTGTGCGCCGACGCCAAATCTAAAAATTGATTGATTGAGTTCCCATCTGTGGGCCAGGCTTCAATCAATTCTAGGCTCGTCTTGTTTCCGCCGTGGGTGATTATCTTGACGGTTGCGAAGTTGAACTCATGACTAGTTTTGTAGGTGAGAAACAACTTCTGATAATTTGTAGCCCCGTCCCACAGCCAGCTTACTTTCATGCTTGCGCGATCCGAACATGCGCTTAGCTGTGTAATTACGAGGGCAGCTTAGATATGGGATGCGATACACTACCCCAGATTATTTTGTGGGTTCTAGTCGGTCTTTTGTTTTCATCATCTTGATGCGCATGGTAGCTTTGCGTCGGAATGCAATTCCAACAGCTAGTCCCGCAACAATGCGCTCAGTCGCTTCTGAAACTTCCCTGATGTATGGCAGACCCCTATCTGCGCATGACTCAGAATATTGTACCATTACTTATGATTAAAGATTCCCGACGGAATCCGAAATGTCAGGACAATAAAACTCTTGTTCCAGTGGTCGCATCTCCTTCTTCTGCAGAGTGTGCTATATCCTCGGTGGTGCTTTTGTAAACAGTTCTACGTGCCTTCAGAAGTATCAAAGTGCCAGTGTAGTGGTGCTGTCCGGGACACGAAATAAGGAAACTGCTTGATCGCCTGAACGTAAGATACAAGTGTCAACACAAGGCACAGGTGTCGAAGACACAAGTGTCGCCCATTAGGGACACAGAAAGAAGTACCAAATAAGCGGTATACAAAGGTCACTACGACTAATTCTAGCTTACATGCTAAGATGGTTATTTTCCTCCGAGTGCTACCGACGCAGTTGTCTGCAAATACGTTCGACCGAAAACCAGCAGTGTCACAGTGGAGGAATTGACCCGAGATTGTGTTTCCTATTAACCAAATTTGAAATCTCCCTTAGCTGATCTGTCCTATTTGGTGATCACTGCCTCGTGGGTGTCGGCGCGCATACTGCACGCATGCAGTTAATCACCAGCAGTGATTAGTGGCACGACAAAGACTCGGCCATTCGGGTGAAAAGTCCTGCCCAGGGAATAGTGCTTGGTCGAGCACTCGACAGGCCAGGTTTCAGCATGCGTGAACGAACACCGCCTTCAGTGACGGAATCGATGGGTGAAATTGCTGCACAATTATAACGCTATTATTAGACACCGATTATGAGGTCGCGGCCATCAACTACCCCGATGCGAACGAGCAAGTAACAAGCTGTTTATCGAGGCAGCTATGCGATGACATGGTGACTGAATACTCTAAGGACTACATTCCCTGTGCGGTCTTCACCCTTATCTCTAGCTGATGATGGCATCCAGTGAGAAAAGGAAACATCGGGTACATAAAAGTTTTGGGCAGGACATGGGAACGGCACGCGTGTGTCCCATAACTGATCAGTAAGTGCCCACCCACGAATCTTTTCAGCATCGTTAAACAGTAACCACGTTATCTCGGCTAAAAAAATCACCTGACACCCCACTTCACTGCGGAGTGAATGAAGTCACGTTGAACAGTTGTCCACCTACTGG